TGATAATAGACCATCTCATCCACATCTATCTATATATATATAAAGAAAAATGACATATGTGTCATCACCACAATTAATCTTCAAATTTCAGTATTTAAAATCAAATTTAAAAAGAAAATATATTATTTTTTTAAAAAAACACATGTCAGTTTTTTTATACGGTTAGAATGAGATATAATTTTAAATTTCAAAAACACAACTGCATCATTTTGAGGAGCATAAATAGGATGTCTCTCTAACAAACAAACAAAAGGCAACAAAGAGCATTCTTCTCTTTCCAAGCATGAGAACTATCATATTTTGATGAGACAAGAAAAAAAAAATAGGTATAGTTGAACTTTTTCTTCTTCTTTTTCTTAAATATAAGCTTTTCTATTTCTTTCTTTTTCTTTAGATTTTCTTATGAAATTGTTTTTTCTTAGATTAAAGATATGTAAAATCAATAATCTATATAATATTAATTTTATCAATATAACTTTTATGCAAGCCAATGTTTAGGAATGCATTGCAAAAGAAATTTGCAATGAAACAGAAAGATTAAAGTCGTATTACTGGAACATGGTTCTTCCTTAATAGTATTTATTCTTATAAAAAGTTTCTACTATTTATTGATGTAAATTAGTTTCCGGATTTTAACTATATAATTTTATGTATATATTATTTAGATTGCTTAAAATAATAATACTTATGTTTTTATTTCGACTTTTTAGATAATACAAGTTTAGACTATCAAAACGGGGATGCCTACAACGAGATGATTTGCGTTATACAAGATATTTCTGTAACTTTTAGGATTAAAATCTATATATGTCATCGCTAGAAAAAAGCAATATTTTTTAAAAATAAGAAAATTGTTTTTGAAAAAAAAAGGTGTATTGGTAGTTAATTATTTCAAAATTAGTGGGATTAGTTTAAAATTTATGTATACGTGTAAACGTACACATCAGTAACTATTATAAAATTTTGAATCCTAAAAATAGATTTTTTTAAAAAAACAAAAATACTTAAATTAAATTTCAAAATAGAAATGCTAATTTTTTTGGTTTTCAAGTTTCAAATAAAAAATTTTAACTTTGAAAATATAAAAATAAAAAACACACGGAAGTTCTGCATCTAAAATTTAGTTTTTGAGCCTAATTATTTTATAGAACTATCAGGCATTATCTAATTTTATGGCACTATCAAGTATTATCCTTTGAAATATCTTAATTTAAATTATTAAAACTAATTGAAAAACGTTTAAATTAAAATTATTTATTTTTTTAAAAAAAACATGTATGGAAAAAAATATGGTGTTTTAATATTTATTTTGTAAAAAAAATAATTACCCAACTAAATCGGGATTTTTAAAACTTCCCATTACACTTCTACTTCTAAACAAATTGAAGAACTTTTAAATTAAAATTATTTATTTAGAAAACCCCACGTATGGAAGTTTCTTTTAAAATTTATCATTTAAATATTATTTAATATTTTAAATTTTATTTCAGGTTTTTTTATTTGCATTTTAAAATAAATATTTTTTTAATAAGATATAACCTATAACCTAAAAAATATAACTAATAATAATAATAGTAATAATAATAATAATAATCCAAGTATAATGTTATGATAAACATAATTTAATGTCTTCTATGTTTATTATTATTATTATTATTATTATTATTATTTATTTATATAAATAAATTTATTTATTTTTACAGATTTTCAACCTTAGCACAAGATACATGAGGAATCGTCATAGCAAAAATTATTAAAATGATAGTCTTTATCACTATCATAAACATAGAAGGTATTAAGTTATGTTTTCATAATATTACTTTTAAAGGACAATCAAATTTCAAAATTGGAAAATAATTTTATGAGAAATAAAATTTAAACTTTGGAATTTAAGATACATAATATTTATGATCTAGCTAGCGTTAAATTCTATCTTGAACAATACCACTATTATAAGTCATTTAGCAAATTTAAGACTATTCCCAATATTATATAACAACATTAAATTAAGTTGAAAATAGCGATTTTAAAATATACGATAAGCTTTTAATTTTCAAATTTTACCTTTTTAAATTTGAATTCAAAGATAACTATAATACATATAATAAGCTTTATCGGATAAAATTCAAATAAACATCCTCTCATTTATATCCATACGTTTTCTGATATAATTCAAATTAAAATTTAATATATCATCTACATACATTGATTAAATCTAATATAGTGATTGTACTAGTTAAGATTATTTTTAATTTTATATAAATTTATTTATATTTTGATAAATTCTAGATCTTTCATGGGAGTAAATAAACTTGTATAGTTCTCTCTTAGGACTTGGAGTCGGCCATCGTTATAAGGTATTTTATTATTTCTGATTTCATCTTTTAATATTTATCTGATCTGAGCGCAAAGGATAGATCCTTCCATACAATCATAAAACTATATAAAAATTTGTGTATACTTTGATTAAAATTTATTCTTTAAGTTCGGATGCTAAACTAGATTGAAGATGACCATTTGGATTACTGACAGTCTTCAGAGATCCTGTATCGTGGTATCGTAGCCTAGGAACTTTCATGGTAAATATGAGATTGATGTGAAGTATGCGACATAGATATGTTCTTTTCAACATGGATCTAGGAGAAGTAAGTACTAAAAGTACTAGATTGGAAGAGGTAGATATACCTCAAAACCTTGATTTGTTAAAAAAATGGACTATTCCAAAAATTGATATTAAAACTCTTTATGATTATGGTTGGTTTGATAGAATATCCAATAAACATTTAATTAATACAACTGAGCAATCTTTGGCGTTAAATTCGTCAGAATAGACTATTCGTTTATTAAATAAACGAGATATCGATTTATATAAAACTCAATATAATTTCTTGCATATTGGCATGTTTCAAATTGCTTTTAAACCGTTAACTCTTAAAGGGTTACCTGAGACATTTTTAGCTGCTCTTCGTGATGCTAGAAATTTAAATTTTAGACAATCTTTGATGTGTTCAATTGAATCCACTGTGGCATATGGCCCGGTATATTTTAATACTCAGCCTAATTTTCAGTTATCCTTAACTGATGCTAATATTCTTGGTGGTTTAACTTTAAATGTTAAAACGCATGGTTATAATTATGCACTTGGATCAAAATTAATTTGTTTATCTTATAGAATTTATTTCAAATTACTTTCAACGTTAAACGAGAGATGTAAGTTATATGATACATCTAATTAAACTATTTTAGTAGAAACTAATTTTGTTAAATCTAAGCTCACTACTAGAAGACCTATAAAATGGGAAGAAATTAATTTTCCAACTACTTGGACTTTGGATTCTTTTATATCTCCTAGTCAGATGTCAATCTTATGACTAATTCTGAGTATTCTCATATTACTCAAAATCCTAATGGAGGGATTTGCATTCAATTTGATGATAAAAATGTTCCTTATAATAGACATTTTTTTTCTAATAGAAGATTGCCTGCTATTTATCACATTTCCCCTATTGAACATGTGTATGGTCCGGCTTGTAACCGTGTTGCTTTACATACCATACCTTCGATTATATCTGCGGATCAAAGTATTAGACTTGTCAATAAAATCAAAATTGATCCTCGAACGAATGTTGTTCAAGCTAATGATAATCTTTTGATATTTCTGATAAGGATATTACTTCTGTATCTGCAATGGATTTTGATCCCAATAAAACTTAATTATGAATGTACCCCAAATAGATTTTAGTCTAGGTTCACTAGCAATAAAGTACATTCAGAATGAGGTTTTGTGTGATAAACAGAACTAGTTTAAAACATGGTTTTTTGACACTTATAGTGCCGATGATTTAAATAAAATTTCTCAAGAATTTTATGAAACTTGTGCTCTTCATTATCAAATTTTGTATTTTCTACCCTGGTTTATAGCCACTTTTTTACCTTTATTCATCAATGTTCTTGAACGATTTTATAAAGTTGGATCTGGTAATATTATTTAGGTTGTTTATCTACCTCAATCATCTTTTATTTTACCAAATAATACAGGTATCAAATTTATTGCTTTCAAAAATTTGTTGAAGAAGATGTGCAGTCAGTATCAATGAGATTAATAATTTGAATTCTCAAAATAATTATTTGGGACTTTATGTTAAGTTTATGGTGAACATATTAGTTCTCTTGATAAAAAATTGAATGAATTAACTCCTTTGGTAATTCAAATAAAACATGATTTAAAAACTTCTGATAAAGCTTCTACTTCTAAAAAGAATTAGGAAGTTTCTACTCATATGCAAAGGCCCCATGAGATTCGAGATTTTAAATTTATATCAATTTATGATTTAGAAGAACATCTTGATAAAAGGTTCTCAGATTTTAGCACAAAACCTATTGATTTGTCAGATAATTTTGCGGATGAAATGGAAAAAAACTTTTGATTTTAAAAATCATGTTCTTTAGAATTTAATAAACTTTGTGGTTATCCCAAGAAGAATAGTAATACTAAGTTTGCGAATAAACCAAGCATGCAAACCTATTATTATTCCGGACCAACTCCTCAAGATGTGCTTATAGAGGAACACGACTGGAATCACACTAATACCTCTTATAGTGGGTCTGAAATTTATGAATGGAATCTTGATGGTTTGACTGATAGACAGTTAACTATTCTTGTTCATAGAATGCTTATGTATGCAACCATCTGTAAAGATGTTAAAAATACAAATAGAAATATTTGCAAAATGATTATTGCACGTTTTGTTGGCCAACTCTTAGGTTGGTGGGTTAATTATATGAGCATTGAGCAAAAGGCCGTTGTTATAAATGCTACTTCTTAGAGTGAAGGTGCTGAAAAGTTGGGCATGACTCTAGTGAAAAATATAGAAGACACTCTTTATTCTTAGTCTTAACCATTTTAGAACATTTTAATGGTAGATTTACTGTTAAATGGTCTACGTTGTAGAACCTTGGGAGAATTTAGTTTGTATAAAAATACTTATACGAGTAGGGTGATGGAACTACCCGAAAATAGTTACGAGCATTCGAAAGCTAAGTTTATAGATGTCCTTCCCCCTTTGTTTGCCAAAAAAGTTAGAAAAATTATGAGGAATGATCATGGTGAAATTCCTTATAAGTATTATACTTATGGTAAGCTGATAGGAGTTTGCACTCAAGAAGGTATAAATTTTTGCAATGAATTGAAGTTATCTAGACAGTTTAAGATGGATAAGCTTAAACAAAGATCTCAACTAGGAGACTTTTGTACCCAGTTCGATTTACCTGATACTTTTGCTAAAAGCAAGAAGAAGAAACATAGAGATTCTAGATACTCTAATCCTAATAAACCTTATCGGAAAAAGAGATCTAGATATAGATCTAAGGAAGAGCGCCAGGCTAGAAAAGCCTTTCGCAAGTCTAATAGATTTATCAAGAGTAGGTCTAAGTGGGAGCTCGCCAAAATCAAGTGCTACAAATGTGGAAAATTCGGTTACATAGCACCCAATTCTAAGCTTGAAAAACTGAAAACCTTAGAACTTGATGAAGAAGTTCATGATAAGACTTATAGTTTCTTATACACTTCTAGTTCTGAGTCTAATTATGATTCTGATTTAGGTTCTGAAGAAGAGATTGATTTGCTTGATTTATCTAATAGTAATCAACATGTTAATATGAATACTTGCTATGCTTGTCATGGTGATATTTGTTCTTGTGAAAATGATCAATTTTAGAAATTGCAATCTCAATTTGAAGATTTGAATATCAATACTATTATATCTGATAATGTGATAGAACTTTTAAAAGAAGTTACTGATAATGATCTTCGTGAAAAAATTATTCATCTAGCGGCTAATAATAATGCTAGTTCTAGTTTTTCAAAAAATTCCACAAAATAGAAGAATGATTTTGAATTCGAATATTCTGCACCTTATTCTATGTTTGAAATTAATGACAAACTTAATAAACAAACGACTCACACTAGGGATTCTTCTTTAGATGATTGTATGGAATGATCTATCCTTATACCCAATCAAGGGGCATGTCAAGATTTAATACGTATTTTCATTGAGCCTACGTGTCTAGCACTTCTAACCGGGTATAGGACCCCTTTTTCTTGTTTAACGGGCTTAGAAAGAACCACAGCCAGCTAGACGAACAGACAAAAAGCTAATGAAAATAGTATCGAATCTGACTGTACCACCATCTCAGAACCAAATCAAGAAACCGCATATAAATTTATTTATATTTTGATGAAGTCTAGATCTTTCATTGTAGATATAAAAGAGAAGTTAGTTATCCGACATAGATATGAATCTTTAGATGGACATAGTCACGGTTCAGATCGAAGAAATATTAAACGACGAAATCAGAAATAATAAAATACCTTATAAAGATGGCCGATTCCAAGGCCTATAAGAGAACTATACAAGTTTATTTACTCCCGGTCAATATGCGGTGAACGAGAACTTTACAAATTAAAAACTTTACAATTGGAGAAAGAGAACTAGAGATAGAAGGGTTTCTAAGATGCTGCCTAATGCAGTGACAAACAAACTTATTTATAGAAAAAAAACATTTAGAATCTTTGTACAGTGATGTTGGGTCCTATTTGTCCCCTAAACAATGTATCTACTGTTTATCAAGAGTGTATCTACTGTTGATGATGGCTTTTTACTGTAGAGAGGTCTTTACAATTTGTCTTTTTCCTTTAATTCTCGGAGGAAATCCTCCGCCTTTCTCAGAGTATCTTCTGATGTAGTTGCTTCAACAGGTTGAGCTTCTTGGATATCATCGGTAGCGTCTTCGCTTGTTTCACTTCTCATAGAAGTGTCTGATTTCTCTTATTGAGTGATGTTGAGAAGCAGACTCCTCTTGACTTCTTCCAAGTAGTTGTTGATCATTGCTTCTTTATCTCCATCTTGAACGAAGATTTTTTGGGCAATATGCCTGACCAAGTTATCAACAATTATTCCCTTTTGGGGAGTAATACCATACTCTTGGATCCTTTTTAAATAAGATCCAGCAGTTCTTTCCCATATAACATGTTTGTTTTGGGATCCTTTTTCATTAATTTATCCCAAAAATTATTATAATAGGTCCTGTATAAGCAAGGAATTTGTTCCTCGGTGAATCCAACTTTTGGGGTCCATTTGTGAATCCAAGGGACAGAGAATTCGATGAAGAAATAAATCTGATCTATTTTGTCCAGATAACAAATATGATCTGTGTTGTATAACTCATTAATGTATGGAGAAACTTTAACCCATTCTTTATATTATTTGAGAAATGGATGAGGTAATATTTTTTATAGTTGGGCCATGGTATGACTACCAATTTAAAAACCAATTAGGAATTGGTCATGCAAATATCTTTGCACATACTTTTATAAACCATGTATGTTTGTGTCTCATTATTATAAAAAAGGATTTTATCAAAGGCCTGAATGTAGTCCCAATATGTGAAATTCATAGCAATTTTATATATGTTGATTTGCCTTTCTTACATGGTGGAGATACCCCAGTTTTCAATATATATAATCTATTAAATTATCATTTTTGAGAAGTTATAAACATTCTCACTGGTATTGTAGCCTGAAAAGTGTTGAAATTCAACACTACCCGTTTTTATCAGAATGGTTTCGTAATACGATCGGGTTTTGTATGACTCACCCGAAAAATATAAACCATTGATTAGGTACCTTTGGAATATCTTCCAAGGTTCTTCTTTCTTTGTATCTTAGAGTTTTCTAAAAGAAATATCATTTCTTTTTTCTATACCTTTTCATAAGACTTGATATCATAATTGTCTTTTTTGGCTATTGATGCAAATGTATCATTTTGCTTTGGTGAGAAATAAGCCTGCATATGTGCGTATAATGGACTGTCTTCTGGGATATCTTCCAGATGTACTGAAGAAGAAGCCTCACTTTGGGAGATTTTGGAGTTTATCAAACTCATTCTTCCTCTCTGTATGACTGGGGAGTTTGAAGAGGATCTGTATGACGGTCCTAGGGATGATCTTCCCCTTCCTCTTGTGTTATTTCCCCTACCTCTGCCCTTGGTTACCCAAGGAGGGTCCATCCTGCAAACATAACTCTTTGTTTTATTCGCATGTATCATAATAGTCACTTTAATAATTATCCTCATCGATATAGATAATTTCTTCATAATCATGTATAGAGAAATCTTCTATAATGATATAGTTGATAATTTCACATAGAAGTAATTCTTGCAAATCTCTATTAAGAGGAATTATTTTTAAAATGGTAACTAAAGTTTTCTCATCAAAGAAAGCAGTATAAAAACTCATTATGAATTTCAATATTCTCTGGATAGAAAATCGAGTAGAGAGTTATCACTTCCCTTTTCATATTGGATCTCAAAATCAAAGGGGCCTAACTGGGACTGCCACTTAGCAAACATTAATTTTGATGCATCATGTTTAAAATCTTTGTTAAACATATATTTAATTGATTGAGCATCAATTTTTATATCTAAAGGATTACAAAAATTCGAATAAACGAAGAAAACTCCTAAATCGAAAAGAAAAACCTATAGTTGGCTAGATTTTATATCTTGGGTTGCCTTCCAAGAAGCGCTTGATTTAACGTCGCGGCACGATGTAGGCCCCTTGATTACTCAGACTTCATCAAGATACCATGCCTCTATCAATGCATTTACACTCTCAGAATTTCCCATTTAGCTTTTTATCCTCCGTTGGTCGGCTTTGAACCTTGTCCCCCTCATTTTCTCAAGCTCAACCACTCCATGTGGGGACACTTGGGTCACGTTGAATGGTCAAGTCCACTGGGACTTGGATCTGCCCGGAAAACAACACAACCTTGATTTATAAAACAACACTAGATCACCAGGAGCTAGTTTGCACTTTTTTGTCTTTTGAGTATGGCGTTTCTTCTCCGTGTGCAAGGCTGCACCTACCTTCTCCTTACTAAACAATTCAGATCTTCTTCTGAAAGTGTGACTCACCACCGATACCTATTTAAGATCACTTTCCTACTTTATAGACTTACAGACGTTAAAGGTCACCTTCTCCTTTTTAAGTAGAAACTTCATCTGCCCTCTCTCCATATCGACTAAGGCATGCCTAGTAGCATGGAATGGTCTCCCTAAGATAAGGGGGACCTCAAAGTCAACCTCGCAATCAAGTATAAGAAAGTCTGCAGGAAAAATGAACGGTCTTACTTTCCTAAGGACATCTTGAAGCACTCCAATGGGCTTTTTCACAGTTCTATCAGCCATGAGTAAATGCATTGCAGTTGGTTTTAGAGCTCCTAAATCCAACTTCTTATAAATCGATAATGGCATCAAGTTAATGCTGGCACCCAAATCACACAAAGCTTTCACAAAGTGCATCTTACCGATGGTACATGAAATAGTGAAAGCTCCAGGATCCTTCTTCTTTTGCACCAGTGACCTCGTAGAAATGGCACTACAATGCTGCAAGCTCTCATCATTCTCAGAACTGACAACCCTCTTTTTGGTCACCAAGTCCTTCGTGAACTTTGCATACCCAGGCATTTGCTCCAAAGCTTCTATCAAAGAGACATTGATGGAAAGTTGTTTCAACATAGTGATGAACCTACAATTTTTTCCTTTTTCAGCCTTCTGCACTAACCTCTGTGGGAAAGGTGGTGGTGGTCTAGGCATGGGAACAACCTTTTGGGCTATCTTCGCTTCGTTCTCTGTGGCATTTTTAGTCTCATCGGTAACCTCAATCTCATCACCATCTATTTCTAACACCTTTTCTACATCGAATGGTATGAGGGGATCAATAGTCCACTTTCCTCCGTGAGTTGGATTGCCATACAATGCCCATCATTCTTCAGATTCTAGATGGTGTTGCTGGGACGCATGCCCAGTTAGCATGTATTCAGAGTAGCAGACAACTAACTAAACTGCTGCTCAAGTTGCTCTATCGACACTGCATGGGCATCAACTTTCTGGCCAATTTCGGACAACTCAGTGCGCATCTCTTTCACATTCTGATCAGTAGTGTCAAACTTCTTCAACATCTTTTGCAACATCTCATCAACGCGCGACATAATACCCCCAACTTCCCTATTGCCAGATTCCATTTTCCCAGGCGGGACGTAGAGCCCAACTCTCTCATTCATGTTACCATTGTTGTTCCGGTTATAGTTGTTGTCGCGATTATAGTTCCCATCCCAAACATATTGACCCTCTCAGTTGTAGTTGCCATAGTTCTGCCTTGGTTTCCTTGTCCTTGGCGCCAATTATCCGTTATGGAACCTTGGGCGTTTGGTCGAAAACCCCCCGTCGGTCATTCACGACATAATTATCTTCTTCATAGTAACACTCCTCGAACGATGGTGGATCTCTAGTCAAATAATTCATAGCATTTACCTTCTCCGCACCTTCGCTCAGATGCTTCAACATCAACCCCAGTTCGTTCCTCATCTAAGCCATCTCCTCACGATTTTCTTCTACTGACTGGTTGTTTGTAGCTTGAACGGAAAACCTGTTCCTCCCAGTATCTTACTTTCTATTGCGCCAAGCTTTATTGTTCCGAGAGATCTTCTCTACTTTCTTCGCAATCTGCTCAAAACTGCATGCACCCTATGAGGTCTGTCAGAATCAACCGTATTGAAGTTGACCATATAGTTATCGTGCAGTCTTGGTCCCTAGTTGATCTTGTACCTTCACTGCATCTCTCAATAGAATCTCATCTTGAACTTGATTATTTTCATCACCAACCTCAGAGGCTGCAACCCAACACCATCACCTACTTCTCCTCCGATAGGATTAGTGGGTACTACATGATTATTCATTCTCCGCAAAGTTCTGTTTAGTTCTGGATCGCAGGGAGTAAGTGGTTCTCCTTAACTCTATGTACTTGGCATACACTAGAGTAGGAAACCGAGAGAGACAAAAATAAGAGAAAAATTAAAACTAGGAAAAATTTGACGAAAGTTCAATAATGTAGTTAAACTTAATCTAAAAGCCTTATTCCTTGGTAGCGGCGTCAAAATTTGATACGCTCAAATTACAGCTCCCTAAAGAAGCATAAGTGATCGTTATTAAGTAAAGAACCCAACTTGTAGGTTGTGGTCGATCCCACGAGGAGTATGGTTTAAACTTAAACTTAACTGATGATTATATTTGTTTAGTCAATGTATTTCCAAAAACAAGTAATTAAAGGGGGGATTTGTGAAACAAATTCAGGAAATTATGTAAATATTCAGTGAGCAAGATTTAAACTTTATTTGTTATCAAGATGAGAAAGTAACTAGGGTGTACGTGTTCCCCATAAGCTCATAACGCGGCAATCCTAGTAATAGCAATCCTTTCCTAGTGTATGACATGCAAATTGATAAGTTAGGTATATCTAATTCCTTGGTCCGGCAACTAGAGAATTTCACCCCGCACCTTGGTCCGGCTACGTGTTTATAATTTACTAACCCTTACCTTTACCTCATATTAGACATCACATCGATTTATGGCTCAGTTTTCACCCTCGCACCAAACTACATTAGACTATTATATAGTATCACACTAAATCTATGTTGATAATTCTTTTCTTATTAACTACCTCCTTGGTTCGGCAAGTAGCAACAAGGTGAGTTCTAACATGTGCACTCATTAAAAAGACTTTTAAACGAAAGAATTATCAATGCATGCAACAACATTATTCAAGAATTGCTTAGTTACTATTCATACGTTGTTAATCACTCATGGTTCCCACAACCCTAGTAGTGGATTTAGTTACCCATAGTAGCAAGAACACAGTTCATATTTTTAGATGAAGAAATCATGAACTTACGTAATGAGAATGATAAATCCAGAATTTCAACTTGAATTTCCAAATAAAAATCTTTTAAACGAACTTAGGAAATGAAGAATTGCTAAAGTTATAAATTAATCTCCAAACTCAAGAACTAGAATAAAAGTAATAAAGTCTAACCCCCAAAAATGAGGTTTATATGCCCTATATATAGAAAAATAAGTCCTAACTAAAAAGGAAAAGAAATAATAATGTTTCAGGACGTGGTTTTGATCGACGATACTTACCTATGGACCGTGGATTGATCTAGGGTTCGTAGGTCCCTTCCGTTACTTAGGACCTAGGCAAATTTATAACTTCAAAATCTTCAAATGTCTGAACATAATGACGGATGACCAGTACGGACCGTGCATTAATCTACGGTCTGTGGATCCTCATCCGTAGCTCCATACTTTGAATTTTCAAAATCAGGTATTGGAACCCCTCTCTGAATCATTTGACGGATTAGCAGTACGATCTGTAGATCAATCTACAGTCCGTCGATTGGAACCGTGGTTCCACACTTGGTCAATAATTCCATGATCTTCCTTCATGCCTTACTAGTTCATCTACGATCATCATCTACGAAACGTAAATGGACCTACAGTTCGTGAATCACATTCGTAGATGGGCTTTTCTGTACATTCCTTACCTATGTCTCTCAACTTTTGCGTCCAAACTTATTATTTGAAAACATGATAAAAGCACATTAATACTAATACAAAATGGCCCTCGAAACATACAACTCTTAAGTGGAATGTATTAAAAATACCGTAAAATCACGGTATATCAGCGGCTTGCCGAAAGTCCTTGATCGCCCTTCTGCACCCTTAATCCTTAAAATTCACTGTAACTTTTGGCGAGCTACCTTTGGCTCACTGAATGGTGTCGGCGATCTGCCAAATTGTCCTAGACATCACCGACCAACTTTGAATATGTGAAATTTTTGTGCTGGTAGTTTTGGCGAGTCTGATGTGGCTTAGAAAAGTGATTCGATGACTCACCGAATGGTTCGAAGAGTCTTCCTACATCTTATTTTCTGCACTTTTTTAGAACTTTTTCTAACATCTTTCTATGTTGTTTGCAAGAATGACTAGAACCAATATGACTGGTAGTGACATGCCACCCCGAAAGCTGGCACGAGGAGTTGTTATAAATGAGGGAGCAACCACTTCCAAGACTAAGGCTACAAAGCTACCTTCAAGGGATTCAAAGAAAAGGGCAAGGTGCCCATGGTTGAGACACTAGAGTACAACTCCGATAGTGAGGGGGAATCGTACGATTCTCAGACTTCTTTCTTTAAGCCTAAGGATGATTATTTTTTGCAAGCTCGAAGAGAAGAGCTTTTGTCCTAGGTGACACATGATCCGTCTAAGATCCCGGTAGATCAGACTCCTCCTCCTCATCCAGCTCCAAAGAAGAAAGTGGTCCCAACGCCACCAGTACATGGTCCTCATCCCCTGTCACTCAACTAGTTAAAGGTCGAGGGATTGAGGACCATCTTAGAGGAGAAGAGATTGTCTATAAAAGGTGTAGTGGACAGGTTTCCAGCAGTGTGGGACACCCTAAGGTTCCATAGATTCGAGGTCTTTACCAAGACCCGTGACCCATACATTCCTACTTGGGTCCAAGAGTTCTACTCTGGTTACGGTGATTTGGTACCTCAAGGGAAGAAGAAGGCTAGTGCCTTCAAGCCGGTGGACTTTGTGATGGGACGAGGAAGGATGATTAAATGCAGTAGCGATGATATAAATGTTGTGTTTGAGCGGGCTACCGACTCCATGCATGAATACCAGAGTATGATCACGACAAAGACTCTGGATGACCTCAAAAGTTGGCTGGCACCTCTTTTTTCTAACATTACCCCGAGGTGGATTGTGGCTGGAGTGCTGATATTGAAGAAGGATCTTAATGAGGCGGCTAGGTACTGGTTTGGATTTATTAGCAGCTCGATCATGCCGTCTCAAAAAGAGTCCATCCTCCGCCACCCAAAGGTAGCCTACCTTGGGAGTATCATTGCAAGGAAGCAACTTAATTTGGGCCTGATTATTTAGCAAGATATGGCCATGAAGGCCAAGCAGTGCTAGACGTCCCTCCCATTCACGGTAGTGATCACAAAGCTATACCGACGGGCCAGAGTTCCACGAATAAGAAGAGGGACACCGAGTACACGAGAGACAAGGCTGATAAGAGGAGAGCAACACCGGTGGACACATATCTGGAGGTTGAGATTGATATGATACCCGCGATGCTCTTGGTACTTCTAGCTCCACTTCTTTCGATGCTCCTGGTACTTCTGTTGCTCCCCCGTCCCCTAGATTTGATGTTGCTTCTGCTTTTAGGCCTCAAATAACCTAGGTAATTCTGTATAAGATGGGGCATTTGGCCTAATCTGCCAATGTGCATTCCTTTCGATTAGAGGTTGTTATTCCTGGGATGATCGAGAGAGACATTACTGTTACATTGACACCTCTCAGGGCTTTGATTGATGGCCTTAGAGGGAGAGTAGAGGTATGTGAGAGAGGACAGAGTGCTATTGAGGAGGTGATGGCTTTGAAGGGTGATGTTTCTGAGATGAGGAAAGATATGGACCATCTGAAGTCCACAGATTTTACTTCGCTATATAGGACGGTGGATATCCAAAATGACCTGAGCACAAATATTCTAGCTTGTTCTAAGGTGCCTCCGGCTACCACCGGAGATGAGGTTAGAGCTGAGGTTGTCGATGTTGTTGTTG